AGGACAGGGTATGGGAAAGGGCAGAAGACACATCTACTTGAATCAATGTTCTTTGTACTCAAGAGAAGACCCTTCATCACCTTGTGGGCAAAGAGAAGGAAGGACGTAGACATCCGTGATGGTTCAGAAAGTGCAGATGCCACAATACACTTGTCTCCTGTCCTTTGACTCTGGAGAGAAACTCCCAACGACTTTTCTCTGAAAATTTCTGCTGAGAATTCCTAACCTCTGGATGCACACTATTTCAACTATAGTCAGGGTTTCCCAGGAAAAATCTGAAACCGTGCTTAGACCTACCCTACACTAGATGGAATTAGGAGTTCTGAAGAGCATAGGGAGCAGGATCATAGATGCTACATCCCACCTATGCTGATGGTATCAGGCAGTGTACATTGGACTTGTTGACCATGCCTCCTGCAGTCCTGGGCATGAGATTGCAGTTCTTCCAGTGATCCCCAGAGGGCGATATCAGTACACAAGCTCAAGCCTCTGGAAATTGTTTCCCTGAGCTGCCTCATGTGTCTGAGAAAATCTTTATGAATGGGGAACCTGAAGGTCCCCTCCCTCCTTGAGGAAGACAGGATTATCACCAGGAATCACCGAGGCAAAGAGCAAAAGTGACCCAGGAATGCCAGGGAGGACTTAGGCTCAGCCAACACATAATGCTGAAGGTTGCCTTGAAAACCTCCATAGAAAGAGAGAGCCCACAGTCCTTTCCAGGATACACAGGTCACCTCTGTCCCAGCACCGTAGATATGAAACTCCTCACACAATTGCTCCTGGGCTATTCTCCAGGTTCAGGAATTTGACTGGTGACATTAGTGATACAAGATATATTTTCAACCCTACTCATCACTCAGCTGGTCCCTTTGTAGTCCTCAGACACTGACCCCTTGCTACTAGGAGTAAATGCCACCTTCCCACAGCACTGAGGATGCAGGGCAGACTGGATGCTCAGCTGGGTCCTTGTGTGACGAAGACACATTGACAGGATGGAGGCTCCCCCTTGGGTGTTGACAGACCCAAGGCAAGGATACAGCAGGTGTCCTCCCTGGGATGAGCCATTGTTCTCTGAGGGCATGGGGATGTTTATAAGCCTTGTTTCTCAATGTGTTGCTAGGAGGAGAAATATAAAAGGAGGTTGAGAGGGATATGGGGACAGCATTGAGAGTGGAGGGGACAGAGCCTTGGACACAGACCCCACCACCCAGAGCCCATTGAATTCTGGGAAGTGCTCCAGCCTGGGAGACTGCAAATCCTAGAAGGAGGAAGACTGTAGAGCCTGGGCACCACGTTGGAGCTGAAGTCCTCCTCAAGGGAGGAGGACACAGTGAGAGGCGAGATGGATAAGTACTCTATGATTCCCTGCAAGGGCTGCACCCTCTGGCAGGGGCTCCTGCTCACAGGTAAGTGTACCCACTCTCTAAATGTGTGATGGAGGGGAACTCAGAAGCATGCTGGAGACTTCAAAAGGGGGCAGGGTGTGGAGAGGAGACTTGAGGTTTCTGTTGGAGGTTATGGCTCAGGTGGTACAGTGAGGGAGAGAGGCTCAGCACCCTGAAGCTCTCAGCCAACAGGAGGGGGTGAGGGGAGGGAACAGCCCCAACATTTCCAATTCAAAGTGAGTCACATTGGCTGCCGTGTTCTGAAGCCTGATGTCCCCAGTCATGACAGGGTGACTCCAGATCTCAACAGGAGTGGACCACAGAGACGGTTCAGTGTTGTGAGTCCTGACAACGTGAATTCAGCCCTCATCTCTCACAGGGTAGATGTTGAGAACAGACTCTTTCAGCCTCTCCCCCCCCACACACAGATGCTGTGACATGGATGTGTTTATGTGCCCAATGAGACACACGCCTTCAGAAATATGTACATACATCATATATGTGAATGTAAAAATGTGTATCACTCTTGAGTGTGAATATTGTCCTTAGCTACAATGGGAATTCTGTAGATAAACCCAAGGACA